AAAATTTTCTATATACAGATAAAAACTCGCATTATGTATATAAATTTTATAAATAGTAAAAAATCCGGTAAATTACTATAGGCCTCTGTAGTTGAATTGTTTGTCCAATTGGAGTTGATTGGCATTGATCGACATCTGAATTATTGCCGAATTGATACTGAATTGAGGCTAATTTTAGGCTGATTTATGGTTGAATTGCTTGTCCAATTGGAGTCGATCAGTGTCGATCAGTGTCTGAATTTTTGCTGAATTGAGGCTGATTTATAGTTATTTAAGTTCTGAATTAATGCCAAATGGCTATGTCTGATTGGAATCGATCAGTGTCTATCGGCATCTGAATTATTGCTGAATTAAGGCCAGTTTTAGGCTGATTTATGGTTGAATTTAAGTTCTGAATGACCATATCTGATTGGGGTTAATCGGCATATATTAGCACCTGTTTGTGCCGATTAGAAAACATGGCAAATTGGACGTAAATAATATCAAAATCAGCCTAAAATCGGCCATCTGATTTTTAGCTGATTTGAATTATTTCGACTAGTAATAATATTTCTATAAGATTTAGCATCAAATTTTTTGTCCTATTTTTTTAAAGGAGAAATGCATAGAGAATGTTGAGATTGTAATTAGAATAATCGAATTGCTGATATATGTTTATAAATTGATTTTGAATTGAATTGATAAAGGAGCGCTGTAGAATATGATTTTAGCTGTTAAGTTCACAGATTATTCAAGTTATAAAAGACACTACCTTTAAATAAACAGTCAGGAGTAGTAGAGGTTACTGATGAGTTGTGTTTAACCATCCTTCTTAATGGGGCAGAGATTCTGTTACATTCATTAAAGGAAAGGAGAGTAGACTGTAACTGATATTCTAATAATGGGAAAAGTACCATATTGAGGATATATACTGTATAATAGCCCACAAAACAAGGCTAGTGAATTTCCCAGAATTTAAAAAAGGAAACCAAGATTCCATTGAATGGTTGAAAGCTTTTGAACAAGCTTGCAAGGCCAATAGAATTACCAGCAATCATATACTTGATATATTACCTAACTACTTAAAAGGAATAGCTCTTACTTGGTTCAATAAAAGTAATATTATATACTGGAGAAACAATATGTTGCAGAATAGATCCTTTATTCACCAATTCAAGGATCATTATTGTAGTATCTTCAGAAAGTAACAGTGAAAGCATCAGCTACAAAATCTTAAGTAAAGGAATGGAGAATCTATTGATGAATATGTTGCTTAAATTACTGAATTAAGAAAAAGATTAGATTCACAAAGGATGAGGCAGGAAGTTAACAAAATAGCAGAGTTCATAGAGGGATTGAGATCAGAATTCATTATAACAGTTCAATCTTCATTGTCCAGAACAGTTGATGAAGCCATAAATAAAGCTTTAACATTAGAGACAGCATATTCAATTGGAATGGAATTATCTACATACTCAATGATACCAAATTATCTCTAGGGTATGAGTGGTAGATTTGTTCTAGCTCAAACAAGTATGGCTATATTCCAACAGGCCTTACCAATAAATCTTTCTCAGCAAAATGAATCAATAGAAGATATGATTGACCAAAAATTAGCTCTATTAATGTCAAAATTGGAAGAACAAAATAAATCAAATAATAATAATGATAGTAATAATAGAAGTAATAATAGAGATACAAGGACTTGCCATAAGTGTAATAAAGTTGAACATATTGCAAGAGACTGTAGATCAGGACAAAGGAACAATAATGGCTATAACAATAATAAAAATAATAATAATAGTGGCAATGACAACAATAATAATACAAAGGTGTGCTATAATTGTAATAAAACTGGCCACCTAGTAAAGAATTGTTGGTCTAACCAAAATAGCAATCAAAATAATAATAGAAATAGTAATTACAACAATAGAAATATTTTTGCTGAAGCTGAAGTTTTTGAAAGGAAAATTAATGTAATGATCAATATAGGAGCTATAGGATGCATTATTACCAAAAGTTTCTTAGATTCTGTACATAAAGATATTGAAGAATCTATAAATGTACAAATAATTAGTGTTATAGGAGCAAGGACAGCGCCCTTAGAAAAAATGTTGAAAGTAGGTGTAAAAATAGGAAAGTTTGAGATCAAAGAGAATATGATAGTTACTGAATCCTTTGGATACAATATTCTACTTGGAAATAATTGGATAACTATACAGGCAAAAGTTGTCATTGATATAAGCAAACAAATCATAACAATCAAACAAAATAATAAAACTAATGTTGTCCTAATCACGTGTTTTTCCAAGATTGATCCAAAAGTATTTACTCCTATAGATTTTGTTGAGGAAAAATATGATGAGTTAGAACTTGAAGAAATATATGAAAACCCTCAATACTATCTAAACGTATCCTTCAATAATAATATGACTACTATTAACAGCCAACAATATCTAACTGAATTTTTAAAATTCAGCAAACTTGAACTTCTTAAGACTAATAAGTATTGGAAAGGACTAGAACGATGCTTGTGTAAAATATTATCAAAAGGAGAAGATTGTTCATATTGTAAGGTACTGCATTAGGATTTACAAGAATATCAAATAGCTGTTTCAATTAATAAAGCACAAATTAAAGCAAATGATAAATTGATAGAAATATCAAAAGGAAAAGAAACACCAATAAGAAAATTAACAAAAGATCAGCAGCAGCAGTTACAACAGTTATTAGAGGAAAATAAAGATTTATTTGCCAATGAGAAGTCAGAATTAACACAAACCAACATCTCACAATATGAAATTATCACAGAAAATATGCATCCAATAAAAAGGAGACCATATACAACATCCTTAAAGGAAAAGGAATGGATAGCATCAGAAATAGAAGAAATGTTAGAACAAGAAGTGATTCGACCATCTAATAGTCCTTGGTCTATATTAATAATGAAGGACGAAACCCCTTAATAACAGTTGAAACTTAGACGAAATTATATTAAAATCATAATAAGGGATACGATGAAACCCTTTCGATACGACGAAAGCTGAAACTGTCAAAACTATATTAAAAACATAGAAAAGGGTATGACGAAATAATTTTGAGAAGGTTTCAGCAGGCATCTATAGTCTACATCTATAGTTTTGATTAAAAAGAAAAATGATTAGATGCGGATGTGTGTTAACTATAAAGAACTTAATACAGTTACAAGGAAAGACAATTACCCATTACTACGAATAGATGAATTATTGGACTCACTTCAAGGTTCTTGTTGGTTTACTTCTTTAGATTTATTCTCAGGGTTTTGGCAAATAAAAATTCGACCAGAAGATGTAAAGAAAATTGCTTTCATTACTAGCGAAGGATTGTATGAGTTCACAGTAATGCCATTTGAACTATACAATGCTCCAGTTACTTTCCAAAGGATGATGGATACTATTTTTCAAAAGGAAAAACAAAAGTTTGTTAAGGTTTATATAGATGATCTAAACATCTACTCAAAAACATTTCAAGAACATTTACAATACTTATAATTAGTTTTTGATCAAATTAGAAAAGCTAATTTGAGAATCAAACCAGACAAATTTTACTTTTGCACTAATAAAATAAAGTTTTTAGGACATGTGGTTAATGAGGAAGGAATCCAATCTGATCCTCAAAAATTAAAAAGGTTGTCAATTATTCTAGGCCAAGAAATCTAACAGAATTAAGAGCTTTTTTAGGATTAGTTTCTTACTATCAAAGGTTTATCAAGGATTTTTCAAAAATATCAGCTCTATTGTATAAATTACAGAAAAAGAAGAAAGTTATATATGGAATGATAAAAGGCAAAGAATATTTGACATGCTGAAAGAAAAATTAACAACAGCACCTATCCTCATGTATTCAGATTTTGATAAACCTTTCATTCTTTATACCAATGCTTCTCAGATTGGTTTAGGCACAGTATTATCTCAAAAAGGAGATGATGAAAAAGAGCATGTGATCATATATGCTAGTAGAACTTTGAATTCAGCTGAAAAGAATTACAGCACGACAGAATAGGAATGTTTAGCTATTATGTGGGTAGTAAAATATTTTAGACATTATATCTTTAGAAGTAGATTCACAATTATCACAAACCATGCAGCATTACAATGGTTATTAAATGCTGAATCAAAATTAACTGAAAATAAAATGATAATGAGATAGAGACTCATCTTATAAGAATATAGTTATGAAGTAAAATATAGAAAAGAAAAATATCACGAAAATGCAGATGCTTTATCTTGGATAAACCCATATGATTTTGACCCAATACAGGAAAATACATCATCATCACCAAACTCTAGATTTTTCAATAATAGATAACGAATTTTATGAAAATCTAACCTAATATTTGAAAACTCTTACATATTCACTGGATTTAGACAATTCTCAACCCAATACATGATAAAAAATAACCTATTATATAAACGAACTAGAGATAGAGATAAAAGAATAATTTTGCATGAACAAGTGGAAATTATTCTTTACAATTTTCACAAAGATATGATAGGAGCTCACCTTAGAATTGATGCTACTTATGAAAAAGTAAAGGAAAGATATTACTGGCCTCAGATGTTTGATGATGTCAGGAGTTACATTCAGCGATATGATAATTGCCAAAAAAGAAAATCATCTAAAAGAAAAGAACCTTTGCAACCAATTGAAGTAAAAGCACCCTTTCACAGAGTTGAAATTGATATAAAAGGACTATTACCTAAAACTTTTCAAGGAAATCGTTACATAATTGTTGTCATAGATTATTTTACAAAATGGTCTGAAGCTAAATCAATATCAGATATTAAATCAGAAACAGTTGCGAAGTTTATTTTTGACGAAATTATTTGCAGACATAGTGTTCTAGAAGAATTTCTATCTAACAGAAGAACTTCTTTCTTGAACAAAATAGTGAATACACTTTGTGAAAAATTTCAAATAAAACATTGACTTACTTCTGCATATAGGTCATAAACAAATGGTATGGTTGAAAGATTCAATAGAACAATTGGTGAATATCTTGCTAAATTAGTTGCTGACAAAAAAAAAGAATGGAATGAATATGTAGAATCAGTTTTATTTACTTACCGTACAATGAAGCATAATATAACTAGTTATACACCTTTTTACCTTCTTTATGAAAGATAAGCAAAGCTACCAATTGAATTAAAAATTCCAACAGAATTGAGTAATGACAAAAATATTAAGGATGCATTAATAGAAAGATTATTTAAAATAATTAATCAATTAGAAGATGATCAACAAATTGCTCTTAACCAAATCAAGATCGATTAATAGAAACAAAAGGATCGATATGATATTGGCACAACATTTGAGAAATTTAAAATAGGTATCAAAGTATTAGTGGAACGCACATAGTTAAAACTAATTTTTCTGCAAAATTAGAGAAACGTTGGATGGGACCTTATTTCATATATAAAGTGCGAAGCAAAAATTACAAATTAAGGAATATGGATAGAAGATTGGTTAAAGATGTAATACACAGTGATCGACTTAAATTGTATTACGAAAATATTCTAAAACCTCAAATTCTTATATAAAGGCACTTTTTCTTGAATTAAAATTTAAGAAGAAAAATTCAAAATAGCTACTCCATATGATCTTATAAGTCTTGACATTCTAGAAGTTGATTCTCTGGATGTTTTAGTGATTCTACCTCCATACAATGATGATGATCATTTAGAATCAAAATTGAAATCAACTTATCAATGAATGATTAGATTTGCAAGATTATATCAGCGTATTCCTACTTTAACTTATGCATATTATCTAGGAATGTTAATTGATTCACATGAAATTTCTAAAGATATTATTAGAAAAACAATTACACCTTATTACAGAAGAGCAGCTGAAAGAACTTATTTTATTTTTGAAAATAATATATCGAAGTTTACAACATTATTTTTGATTGAAAGATTGAAAATAGTTGAATATCAGTCACTTTATCAACCATTCTAATTTCACAGTAGCTCAATTTTTTTAAGGAGAAGATAATTAGTGACGCAATTAACGCAGTCGAAGCAGCAAATTTATTTTTTACTTTTTATATTTTATTTTTATTAACATTTTATTTTAGTTTATTTTTATTTTTATTTTAGTTAGTATTTAGTTTATTGGACAATTTTATAGATTTAAAAAGGGCAAAAACGCAATGGTATGCAAGATTTTATTGAAAATAGAAAGATAATAAAATACATTAATATAGAAAAGAAAAAAGAAAATACATTTATAAGAAACTATCTATGACAACTATTACTAGCTATAAAAGATAAAGAGAGAGAGCGTAGTCTATAGAACGGCCAAAAAGGTGACGACAAAGTGTAGTTTTATGACAGGCAAAATGCAAATGACATCTCTTCCTGAAAAGATATTTAGTAGTAAATTAATCATTAAGAGGCACGTGATAAGGAAAATTAAATTCTTCTCTGACAAAGATGCTCCAATATTCTTTTAAAGTTTCTTTGGATTTGATCTAAATTATTCTGGAGATTTTGAACTGATTGGACATCTTCATAACTTTGAAGACGATTAATATCAGCTCTTACACAATTGTATTAAAATAGAAGGCTTTTATATTCTACTTTAAGGTCTTGATATCAACGCCTATTGCGAGATAAATGGAAAGATAAATGATGAATTTCATTAGATAAACTATCTACTTGAGACAAAGAGGAATTTAATAGTTGTCGAAGCCTGTGATTTTTAATATCAAGTTCATCTATCCTTTGTTGTCTTATCCCTTCTTCTTGATTTCAAAGGTTGTATTGGTGACATGAGAAAAATTGCTTGTGGAAACTCTTGCTCATGTTAAAAATATAAAAGTTAAAAAAAAAAAAATTATTTTAAGAAAAAGTTTGAAATTTTACAATAATTTTAGGAGGAAAAGCAAAATTTTAGAGAAAATAGAAGAAAATTTTGACAAATATTTATAAATAAAGAAAGTGGCTGTGTAGATTCTTAAAAATTCTCAAGATCATGAGAATTCTCCCTTGCAGAAATATAAACAAATGACTATTAGTTCAAATTTATTGATAATTATAGCGTGATATTTTTAAGGAATAAAATCTGTTTAAAATGAAAATCACGCAATCGATCGATAAAATTTGTAATTCTATAGAATAATTTAGAATAAATTGAAAAATTTTGTTATTGAAGATCTGCAAACAAAGAAATTCATAACAAAGAAAATTTGTTTAGAAAGTATTCGACAGAGCTCACTCTTTAAGAAGGGAAGTGTTAAATAGAATAACTCTTAAATTAATAATCAACATTTTGATGAAAATAGTATCATTAGAACTGTCTTAATGAGAACTTTTCAACGAATATAAGCTCGACCTGATTAGACCAATATTTAGTAAGATATTTCGAAATGATTATTTAAGTATAATTCTGTAAATCATTGCTAAACAGAGTCATAATTCCTTAATGCGAATTAGTGATTGACTGACCAGAATTACGAAATGATGAAAATGATGAAAACTATCATAACGATAAAACTGATGATAACATTGTTAACAAATTGAATTTCTTTCTTCTTTGTTAAATTTTATCCAAGAATTTTTATGTAAAAAATGTGTATGTTCAAGGGTGGCCACAGCTTAGCCTGCGAACAAAAAACAAAACTCCCCTATTCAAAGTTTTTCCTCTTTTTATTCCCCATACCCTCAACCAAAAAATATTTCGTTGTTAGTTCAAACGGTGGTGTTTTTTTGTTATAATATTTTTTTCGCCACTTCTCTCGAATATTTTTCTCGTTTGTTTTCCTTTTTCTTTTTTGCCTACAAAAAGTAGACATCAAGAGGTATCTGAAATGACAATCAGGATCAACATATCTTTGAGCGTAAATAAATCTCACGTGATGACTATCCAATTATCTTCATAAACAACAACATTCTTTTAAAGATTTTCTGACGTCATAGAGTCCGCCAATCTTAGCAGAATTTTCCGGTTCTCGCAACTATGTGTTTTGGTTCTGTGCTTTTGCCGGCGGCTGTAATCTGAATTGACAGATATATCAACATGGAAGTTTGAGATATCCGAAGAGCCTCTAACGGGACTTAGTGTTTTGGGCGCTCCTGTTGTAGGAGGTCGCTGTAACTTGGAATTAACTAGGCATTTTAGCTAGGAATTTGTTGGAGTTGGTTGTCTTTTTTAACCTTACTTTTTTCAGAAACTAATCTCGGGTTCGTATGTTCTGGAGGGTGTGAATTTTTTTTGATTTTAGTTAGGGGATTAGTGGTTAGTTAAAGGAATAGCGTTGTGATATTGACAATTTCATTTGCTTTTTTCGTTAACAAGTTGTTCATTAGAAATGGTTTTAATGGACTTCTTGAAGAGGAAAGTCAGTGATTGGTCAGCTCAAACGGGCTTGAAACAGAGTCACAGGAGGTAGCTGCAGTTTAGTTTAGATTTCTTATTTGTATCTTTTTACTTTGTTTTACATAGTTAATGCATTTAAAACTATAAATCTTATTAATAAACTTGTGGCAGTACCACATTGTTAAAAGTCAAAAAAAAAAATATTGTTAACAAATTGTCCAGTGATTGGTCAATCCAAACAGGTTTGTAATAGAATTATGGGAGATAGTCATAGTTTAGTCTTTTATTATTTTTACTTTTAACTTTATTTCCTTATTTAATTTTATTTGTAATATTTTAACATAAATATAATGAACTTATGACAGTATCACATCGTTAAAAAAAAAAAAATGTTGTTAACAAATTGTTAACGAATTGAACCTTTCTTTCTTGTTAGATTTTGTCCAAGAATTTTTACGTAAAAAATGTATATGTTTAAGAGCGACCACAGCTTAGCCTGCGAACAAAAACAAAACTCCCCTATTCAAACTTTTTCCTCTTTTTATTTCCCATACCCTCAACTAAAAAATATTTCTAAACAGTGGTGTTTTTTTGTTAAAATATTTTTTTCACTATTTCTCTCGAATATTTTTCTCGTTTGTTTTCCTTTTCTTTTTTGTCTACAAAAAGTGGACATCAAGGGGTATCTGAAATGATGATCAGGATCGATATATCTTTGAGCGTAAAAAAATCTCACATGATAACTATCCAATTACCTTCATAAACAACAACATTCTTTTGAAGATTTTCTGACGTCATAGAGTCTGCTGATCTTAGCGGAATTTTCTGGTTCTCGCAACTATGTATTTTGAGCTCTGTGCTTTTGCCGACAGCTATAATCTGAATTGACAGATATATCAACATAGAAGTTTAAAATATCCAAAGAGCCTCTGACAGGACTTAGTGTTTTGAGCACTCCTGTTATGAAAGGTCACTGTAACTTGGAATCA